TGGGATTAACAGAATGAAAGCCAAAAAATTTCAGCCAAAAAAGGTTTTCTAACGCGAGTGAATAAATTGTATTGGGAACGCAAAAATATTTTTTTTCTTTGGAAGAAATGATGAAGAATGGAAAAAAATTCTTGACACATTCTGTGATAATGGATTGGATCATTAGAAATGTATTCCACGTGTTGTCATTGGATTGAATAAAAAAAATTTTTTTATGTTCAGGTGTCAATTTTACGCGCGCCTCGCTCAAGTGGTAAAACGTAATTCCCCTTAATAAACGTTTAATTCCTGAACCTCATCCTCCTTCAAAAATATTATCCACACAATTCCTCAGTAAATTACGATATATAAACTCACCTTGAAGAAATTAATGATCTGCTCCTTATTAATCTTCATAAGATATGCGACATCATTTGTAACGCGATCAAAATTATACTGCTGGGTAGAGATTTCATTCCAGAAAACCTTGAACAAACTGGTCATCGTATTGGGCTTCTTGAGCCTATGAGCAGCAAGTGAAGTCTTATGCCGGTTAAGTTCATCATCCGGCATATCGACCAATCGCTCCAACATCGACTCCATGCATGCGTCTATCCTCTCCTCGACATACTGAGGATGTCTAAGACCCTGCACAATGACTGTCAACCCTTGGGCCCCATTACTCCTCTGTACTCCACAAAAAACGATGTACCCCAGTTGTTCCTTGGTTCGCAAAACTGTAATGGACGGCTCCGATATTATTTGTACGAGCAGATCCAACTGCATGTCGGAATCCGTTGATTGCAATCCACTCGGATAATAAACTTGGGTGCAAGATGACTTGTGATGATGATCCTCTACCTCATAGAGAAAATGACAGCCTTCTTCAAGATTAATTTCCCGATACGGCAACAATTGTTTAGGTAACAGAGGTACTAGTGTTCTGTTGCCCCGATTCGTTGGATCAGCTGTTAATTTCGATTGAACGAGCCGTACACTCTCCAACGCCTCAGCTTTCGTCAAATTCCCATAGATCAAACTCTCTACATGCATTTTTGACAATAACTGAGGCACAAATGCTTCGAATTTCTCCAATGTAATATGATCAGTGGCATCCAGGAGTTCATCTTTGGTCCACTCTTGTTCAGCAAGCAGAACTGCCAGATAATAAAGAGTATGTTGAAACGGCTGTTCAGCTCCATGATCCTTCAACCCACGGATGTATAGCTCTTTCAATAATTCAAAGTGTTGCTTGTCAACCGTAAAATTAACCATTTTATCCATAATT